GAAGTTTTGAGTAAAAATGATTTTCTAAATTTTGACATAGATAGAATACTTTGTATTATTCAAATATATGAAGTGTTAGTACATGTGTATATTTGTAGTTTTTAAATATTCTATTGTCATTTGTTTACCATATATGGGTAAATATTTTTTAAATATTAAAAATCTGTTGAAAAATATTATTTAAAGGGTATATGTACAGATAAATTTAAGGTGTGGGTTTAAACCTACTTGTCACTAGGTTTTCTTTTTTTGTTTAGATTTAAGGACTAGAATCCTGCTTTACAATCAACATACTTAGTATATAAATTTACTTGTTTTTATGGTCAGCAAGGCTAAGTAGGTTCTACTGAAAGAAAACTGTTAATGTGAGTGAAAGAACATGTTAACCTAAGGGATCCTATTAAATCAAGTGTATTAGAACATGCCTCAAGAGAATGTGATTTTGTTATTCACTGTAATTGGTTTAAGATATCAGCAAGGTCCAATGATGAACAGAGCCTCTGAAGAAAAGAGAGCTTGCTTATTTACAAGCCAAAGCCTGATATTAATGTAGTTGGAACAGCTTGTAAATTAAGAAATGTTTCTTAAGCCAACAAAACCATGAATATATCTTCAGAAAGCTGGAATTATTTTTCTTTCTTGTAGTCAGTTTGCTTTGGAACTTTATTTATACCTTAAATATATATATATACAAACTCTTAGTTATTACATCAGAACATTTCATGATTGTATTCCTTCATATAATTTCCTTAGTTCATGGTTTTTGTAATTTTTATATACTGTCTAAAGACAATAAATTATATCCCAAGCTTTTTCTATTTTGTTGAAACATTTTATAAATGGTAGTACTATTTTTTCTTTACAAAAATTTCCACTGGTAATTTGAAATTTGAATTCTTACATTGAACTATTCTCCAACATGAGTGTAGAAATTGTATATATGTATTTGTGTGTGGCAGCCCGGCATGGCCAGGTGGTTAGGGAGCTCGACTCGCAATCTGCAATATGTGATATTTTAGTACAATGTTCCAACTTGTATCAAAAGAAAGCTATTTTATTCAGGAATTTGAAAATCATTGTTGGCAATCTCGCAAATAGTTCTGAGTCACCCATTTTATACCCTACCCTCAGTCAGGCCTTTTCAGTCTGAGAAATTAATATTTTATTCTTTTGGGTTTCATTCATTTGATTTCTTCATAAAAACATGAACATATTTTTTTATGTTCCATTATGTTTAGTAATATATCTCTTCAAACAAGTTAGATTTTTGTCAACATAAAATGAGCCTGAATGGTCCATTTTGGACCTAACCCTTCAAAACCATAAAAGAACTGAAGAGTATTTATTTTATTTATTTATATTGTTCATTTTGTTTCATTCAACGTATACAGGAACTAAACATTTTCTGCAAATGTTAACTTTGTGCTATTAAATCATTTTAGTATCTTAACTAAGTAAAATTGTTGAAACATAGGTATGCATGATTCCTATATTATCAAAAATTGCTTAAATTTGTCAAAGAATTATGCTTTACATTTTGGAATAGACCTAAATATGTTTCTTATATTTCTGAAATTGTGTGCAATAATATAATTGCATTATTTTCAGAAATTAAATCCAGCTAGGAATACCAGATTCAGCTCTTCTGTCAAAATTCAATCCAGTTGATTAAAAGATAAAACAAATTTCATTATAATTGTCAAACAGAAATTACAATGGTCATTTTTCACTCAATGTCAGTGCAAATGAAATCTATTTAAATAAAAATCCAAAGATAATTCTGTTCTCTTGATTATGGTTATATCATACTACACTTATTGTAGATGATACTGTAGATTGGGTTATGCACATATAAAAGAAGCAGCAACAACAAACACATTAACCATGTTAACTGAATGTCTGCTTATATTGTCCCTTATCTTATTCCATTGGATTATGTGGGATTTTGAACTATTCACTAGAACAGGAACAAACTACAGTACACTTCAGAAGGCTCTTTGCACACATGCATTGCTTTGTCAACTGCAAGTAATCGGTTCAGACAGCAGTGTTTTCCATGACAATAGGTTGCATCATGCCGTTAACATTTTGCAACCTGTCAGAAGAGGGCTCAGGCGAACTGCTTGTGCTATGAGTGCATTCTGCCAAATAAAGGCCTGATAATGTGACCTTCTGATATGAAAGATGAGAGCATTTGGAGGCATATTTTTAAGACTTTGCTTAAAATTTCTGAATAATGAAGCATGAAGCACTTGGATATCAGTTATTCGGTTTTGGAATTGTACAGCTTACACACAAATGCCTCTGCATTTGAAACACTTTTGCACTCAATATGTGATCCTTCCCAATGTCCTTCAGAGTTACTACCAGCAAAAAATACCTCCCAAGTGGTTTTCTTCCCAATGCCAGCAAACAGATGTAGTGTTGCAACCAGTAATAGCATGGAATTGCAGAAGGGTGTTATTTGTGTGTGATGTCATGTGTATGTCATGAACTGCAACAAATCTGGTTAATTTCCCTGTTACAATTTTCACCCAGAGTTCTCTACACAGATGTGACTGGAAGAATATGAGCAACACTAAGACATCCGTGGCCTGTGAATGTACTGCTATTCATTCATATTCATGCCTTGTTGCTTCCTTCACGTGCACTATTATGTACGTGTTAGCTTCTTTATGAGTAAAATAGTGAACTCGCATCGTAGGTACACATTGAAGAAATTACCATTGTTGGATCAAGAAATCTACTGGCAACAATCAGCTCATAGCCATCCTTTGGTGAAACTTTCAAATTCATTTGACAAAAAAATTGCTAAACTTTTCTTGTTGTCCAGAAGGTTGAGATATGGTTTTTAGTTGTTTGGTATTTCTGCCACTGACCTGTTGCTTTATATGTTTGGGCTTTCTTTGCCACTCAGAACAATTTGTGAGATTACCAACAATGATTTTTGAATTCCTGAATAAAATAACTTTCTTTTGATATATGTTAACATGTACTAAATATGTCAAACATTTTCGATTTCCAGAGGCCTTAACAAGATCTGCATCCTGACTTTTCATCGTAATGATGGTTTACACTTGAAGTATCTGCGTAACAGATATTGTAACATTTATGAATTATTAATTTTTTTTGTGTATTAAAAAAGCAGAAGTGGCCAATATAATAACACTGCTCTGGAAAGAGTTAAACCATCTCTACATACTGACATTATCGTAACTTCCTCTATTGAAGCAAGTGCTGTTTTTTTTTATTTATGGAAATACATAGGTGTCTCTATTTACAGTGACTAGGAGAAAGAGATGATTGGTTCCCAAAATATACACACCTACAAAACATTGAAATGGAAGAGAACACTATCACGAAACATTCAAGTGGTTAAAATAATTGTTTTTATAAAAGACAAACTGCTTAAATTTCGAAAAACCATACAGAAGAGCAAAACCAAAACCTTTAGATCTTTTACAATGATTTGTTATATTTTATATAAATAACTAATGATTATTTTTTTACAGGGCTTAAGACTATCAAATTACATGTACATATCTGTTTAATGTTTGTTGTTATTAAATGTCTCAATCCTTTTGCATCAGGTAGGTGTATGTCCCAATCTTTTAAAGAGTTACTTTCAAAATTTAATTCAACTATTTCATTATCAATGTATATGAGTAAACTTGGCATCAAAATGTAGATAATAAAGCTAATATTAATATTATATAAGTTTTAAGTTCTTAATTTTATTAGGAAATATTAAAATATAATCCTCAATCTTCTCTAGTATTAGACCTGTGACATTTGCACTCTGTTTTCCCTCAAACAAAAAACATTTTATGTTTATTAAAGAATTATGCAAATGAAATTTGAATATTTTCAGATGAAGAAAAATATTTTTAATCTTAACATGAAAATTACTTTGCACTTGGAGCAGTCAACACTTTGATGCCATATTTTTATAGACAAAGTTTTAGTAAAAATTCTGATTTTTTTGTCTACAAAAGACTTAAAACTTACTGAAAGCTTGCCAAATTTCATGAAGGTACATTAAGTACTTTCAGAATCATAGTATGTATACCACCATGTTTACAAGGTGGTTATAAGGTGTGTAAAATACACAAGCCTGTTGCAATAGAGTTAAGTTATATATATATCCATCAATGCATTGTGATTTCAAGATAGTATTCCTTCAGAACACACCATTATTAAATCCCTACTTTTTTGTCACATATTTAAGTTGCATTAATATCTCTGAGTATGTTTTAATCTTTATTCAGATTATAAGACAAGTCACTTAGAAAAACTTTTCTCTGAGATTTATTTTTTTTTTTTTTCTAACATGAACTCAAGCATTCCAGTAAGTATTTAAAACTTGATGAACAAGTACCTAATTTTTATGCATCAAGTTAGTTGTTATGGTTTACTTCGTTGCTAGAAGTAATCATTAACACTACCAGGCTTCTGTCTAGAATTTAAAACTAATTTCTTAGTGATAACTGTCACTGGTTCAAAGAACTTGTGTTGACTTGTATCATAAAATAACCTTTTCATCCAACATAAACAGTGAAAAAATACTTTGCTTGTTGGTGTATTGCTAGGCATTGGCCTTGAGCATTCATAATTTTCATAAATCATTTCATTTAGACACCAGTTAGATTCTATCATCTGAGTAATCTGGAGAAAGCATACATGTGTCAGAAGGAATGTTAATGAATTTACTGAAGTACTTATGTAAATTACATGCCAAAATTAAGTCAATAATGTATACAGAAATTGTTTGAAAAATAACCTCAATTTACCTTTATTTTACAAGTTTTGTTTCAGTTTATCATATGATTAACGCCAAACAATCAGTTTGTCTTACTTTACTGCAATATAAATATATATTGTTTCATTACAGAATAGAATGATGTGGGTAATGTTTTTATAGTGTTGCTGTTGACTTTAATTATTGCTCAGCTCTGTTCATTTCATTGCTTGTTTACTGAAGAAAATTTCTGTCTGTTTAGGGTGGTCCATGTGGAGTTGTGGCTGCAGTTCAAGCTTATGTTATTCTTCATCTAGTGTTTGGTGATAAACCATCATGCTTAAAAGATGGAAGGTATGTAGACTAATTAGAAATATGTACTTACAACCATGAATTACTTACTATATGCATTCAGTCAATTTGACTGACCTCATAACCACCATGAAAAAATATTAAATAAATCTAAATTACCCTTTTCTTTTTTCTAGAATGGTTGAAAATTGTAACAGGAAACTACAGTTGTTTATTTTAAATAGTTTAAAACTCGTAACAGTATATTTCAACTTTTATTGATTTATTGCCCTGTGAACTGTGTCTAACTAATAATCCTACCACACAAGTTGTAAATCACTTGGCGATTGTGTAGCTCACATTACCTTATCAAATTACATATTACACAAGCTATTCACAAGTATATCTTGTGAAAAAGTTTTATTTTAGTTTTCATAATCTATCCTTATTTAACATAAGTTTCTAATTTTTACATTTTGTTACTTTTATAACAGCAAATAAAAAATACATATTAAAAGAGAAATATATAGTACTTATCTAGAACTTATTTTTATTTGATGTTGACGAGACTTAACCATACTTTTTTATACTAATGGTACTACTACTACACTATTTAAGTTTTTCTTGTATTAAATAATGCACCTAAGAATTAGAATTATAACATGTAACAAGCAGACAACGTCCTATAACTATCATACTTTTCCTGACTTTCTAAATCTGTGATAAAAGTTTGTTAAAAAGTTATTAAAAAAGCTAAGCTTGTTGATGTAGTTCTGGAACTGAAAGTGAAATAGACAATTCTCTGTATAGAAAAACAATGTAATATAATATGTCATTTGATAAATTAAAACTTTGGCCTTCTATTGGTTATAAATAATATAGTATTAAGTGTCAGAGAACTATTGGCAATTTGTGAAAGAGAGGATGTAACAGGTGAGTGTGGCAAGTGGGCTTGATTTTCTATCTTTTGGTTCCATAAAGAAATAAGATTAAAGGCTATAAAATTATGCTTTACCTGAGTAATAACTACATTATAATGATTAATTTATGTCAAAGGGCAATAAAGTTTAAGTAAAAAAAAGATATAAAATGTTGTGAGCTTTAAGCTATTTAGGATAAACATGTAGTTTCCTGTTACAATTTTAAGTCATTCTAGAAATAAAAGATAATTTAGATTTATTTAATATTTGTTTATGGTGGTTATGAGGTTAGTGAACTTGAACAAATGCATATAGAGTTAGGGTAGAGAAAAATAACAGATAAAATATTATGTTTTACTGAAAAAAAAGTTTGAAATTTACCCAGGAGGTTTCAGAATTACATGAATCAAATTTGACTGTTTTTCAGAGGAAAAAACGTATTTTTAATCTTAATTTCTGTAATGCATATTCATGTCTAGAAAACATTTTAATACTAGAAATATATGACCTTATAACACCAAATTGTTGTTTTTCTTTAATTGGACACTCAACATTTCATTTTACAGCTTTTTCAGGAGCATTCCATTAAAACACAAACCTAAAGAGATTATCTGTGAACTTACTAAAACAATTAATCTTTCTAAAAACACAACAATTCTCTTGACTTTGGACATTGTAGCTTTCTGTCCATCTATACAGACAGTTGATGGCATCAGTGCAGTGTGTGAATTCATGTCAGATCACATAATTTGGATATGTACGGACTGATAATAGACACTGTCTCAATGGGTAATAGAGTTGCTGTTACTTATGCTGTAATATTTATACACATGTTTGAAACAATGGTACTTGACAAATGGTGTCAAGACATCAGCTCTGGCCCTGATGTCTGGTTTTGATACATCAATGACATGTTTGGACTATGGAACCACAGTCTTCCTTTATTAATCAAATTTTTAGATTTTCTAAATGCTACAGATCCCAACACCCCATTCACTGTGAATCACTTGAATGACAAGAGGAGCATAGATTTTCTTGACATCAACTTTAGGATCAAGAGTGGCATCATTATACATTCTACCTCGTTTCACAAACCAGTTAGAAAACCTCTCTTCCTTAACTTCAACTCCAATTAGGGTTTATGTTTTAGTGGAATGCTTCTGAAGAAGCTTTAAAGGGAAATGTTGAGTGTTCAATTAAAAAAACCCAACAATTTGGTGTTATAAGGCCGTTTATTTCTAGTATTTTTATTCTTAACATGATAGTCACTTTGCACTTGGAGTAAATGCTTTGACTCTCATATATTCACAGAGAAATTTTTAGTAAAGATACTTCATTAAAAATTCAGATTTTTTGCCTACTAAAGACTTAATGTTTACTAAAAACTTGCAAAATATCATGATGATACACAAAACAAACTTTTTCATAGCAGGGCCTGTAAAAATACATGACCCCATCAGGGAAATGATACGAGTGCAACAATACATACTGTAACTCTGAGATTTCTTAATATATCCTCACAAAAACTGTTAAGATTTTGTTAGAGATTATTTTAATTAAGTATTTTTACTAAAAATATGTTATTTGTCTATTGTTATTTGCACTTGAACTCCTAACAGTTTATGTGCAAGATGATTTTCATTGTAAGTTAAAAAATATTTTTCTTCATCTTACAGTTTGAGTTTTATTTGCATAACTGCTAGAACTTCCTAAATGAATATAAAAAATGTTTGAAAGGTAAATATATATATTTTCATTTTCTCTATCATACTACTGACTGTACATAATATCATCAACATACATTGCAATGAAATGTTTAAAATTAAGAAATAGAAAAAATGTATATACCTTTTAATTTTTCATAGAGTATCTTAAAAGATCTTCTATTGGTAATATTCGTAATATCTGGTCTTTTCTTTTTTACATATAACTAATTTTTAGAGTTTTATTTTCCTTTCTTGTCCTTTACTTTTTGATACTCATCTTGGCACAAGGCAACAGTGCTCTCGGGGCATAATTACAGTATCTTCGGCAGAGATTCACAAGCCTTTAGCAAAATCTTGTGCTCATGCAAGATCTTGAGAGCTGATGCAAAGTATGATGTATATTTAGAAAAATGTTTAAACCTTTCAATTATACATTTAAAAACATAAATACTTTGTATTTAACTGATATATAAAAGTAAGACTAAGACCTAAATACAATTTAAATGTCTCTCTAACTATAACACATTTAGCTCAGAAAAAACTAAGTGCTATTATGGATAAAGCAGCCAACAATACTGCAGGCATTAACATGTACCAGATGATGACAACTGCGTGTCAATTTCAAAATAACTGTTGTTGGATTATAGTGTAAAATGAGCTCTTTCTAGTGACTATATACATGTATATGTAGCAACCTCGAATATGTTATAAATCTCAAGCAAAAATATAGAAGGTAGGCATGGCACCCATCATGGTTTGACAAAATGTATTACTTGTTTCTATTGTATTCAGCTAGAGAACTTTGAAACTTACATATCAACAGGGCAAGTAAATGTACTTATTGTTGAGATGAACATAAACACAACTGGCATCATCTTAACCCTACTGACATGGGTCTACCTATGGTCACAGCTCAAAGACCATGTTATCGCGTTTGTAAACTCATATGAAAAATTTTATTGAACTACTATTTTATTAATATATGTCAATAATTTTGTTATCAAATTGAAGATTATAATTCCAATTTTAGTTATGTACATTAGTTAATTTCTTAATTTACAAATAAATATTAAAAAACACCTAAACATCAATTTTTGTGTGTCATGTGGTATGTTGAATGCAGCATTGGTTCAAATTAGGTGTTTATGATGTCCAAATGCAAAGTCTATAGTTTCTTACAAATTAGATACTCATATTACTGATATTGACAAGCTAGAATATAAGATAAGAACCTCCTATCTTTTCAATTTTCTAGGATATTAATACATTTATTAATAGGCCCGGCATGGCCAGGTGGCTAAGGCACTCGACTCGCAATCTGAGGGTCGC